TATAATCTATCCCGTGGTTTGTCATCTTACTACAGCCCTGCTTTAAATCTACTTAGGGATTATTAGACAATAGGCAATTAAATATTACTTTAAGGGGACCTCAAATCGCAGAGGATATCACAAAGTGGATGGAAAATAGAACTTCTTATATTTCTCAATTGTTTCAGAGGAGAATTGGTGTTATTCTGTTTTGAAATTGGTGTTCTCCTTATTTAAGGGTTAAAATGATATTTTCTATTTCCTGTTCCAAATACAACTGATTATTGAGAGCTGCAAATGGAGGAGCCTCAGAAGCTTCTAGTTCCAGAATGCCAACCTATCAACCACAAGATAGATTCTTCATCCATGAAACCAGTACATTTCTTGCTGCACTGGTGAGGGTGATCTAGGATTCAGGATAAGGATGGTTTAACTGCCACCATTTATGAGGCTATAAATATGTATATGTGTTGATGAATAAATGTACTACGTCAGATGCGCATTAATGTAGTTTGTTCATTATAGAAAGTCAGTAACACAAGTAGCCAAGATTTAGCTCCATAGAATTTATTATAGGACTATTAAAATACATTGTGTGTCAGTGCACTGCACATATGTCCTGCTTAGCAAGAAAAAGCATGCTGCTCTGCAGTGTAATCTCTATATTAGAAATTCTAGCTTGCAACAAATACCATAACTTCCACAGATACTATAAACTAGGCTGTGGATGTGCTTATGGCATACTGACCAAAATATGTCAAAATTGACTGAGTTGAAGTAAGTGTTCTTCCTGTTACTAGGTAATGTGATATGTCATACAGCTGTAGCTAAGGCTGGCAACCTGATCGACAGCTTCTTTATATTATTAAACTGAGTTATGTGAAAACATAAAGAACAAAGTTTGAGGGGCAGCATACAGTATGTTACTTCTTTCCCTCCCCCCTTCTCTTCTTTTTCCTTTTTGTTCTCTTTCTCCTCCTTGTCCTTGTCGACTCCTGGTGACTGGCTGCACAAATCCCTGCAGTTTCTTGGAAATATTTCAGATGGTTTGCTGTTGCCTCCTTCATAGGGCTCAGAGAAAGAGAGAGAGGGAATGGCCCAAGGTCCATGCTGAGACTGACTAGCATTCATGGTGCCCTTGTTTCTGGCTCTCTATCTGTATTCATACATATCAATATCTGATACATGGAAGCTTATGACTTGGAATATAATAAGAATAAACAGTAAGGAGACTGAATTCATTGGTGAAATGAATGAATGAAATAGGCATGTTGTATGTATGGTGGAATGTAATCTGGATTTGCAGAAGGGAAGAAGCAGCAAAACAAACCAAACATTTTGCCCAATTAAAGCAACTATTTGCATTACTACAGTTACACTCTGAGAATCACTAGGGAAGAAAAAGGTTAAAACAGATCCTTCCCAGTGACTCTCAGAATATATCTAGTTATGCAAATAGTTACTTTAGTTGGGCAAGATTTCTGCCTATAGATACAATAGAGGAACAATTAAAGAAACTATTTAGAAGTAACTCCTCATTTCTTTCTTGGTTTCTGGGGAGATGGTTCTGACAGAATGGCTGTAAAACTAAGAGCAAGGATGTAATAGATTTGAATGAAAGTGATCTAATGCCATTGAATGACATTGATGGGTGCATACATGCAGGCAGATGAAGGTGCAGTTTTAATTATACTGTACATGAAAAGGTGAAAATGTAGTTATATCAGAAATAAATAGATTGGCACAATTTAAGTTGTTATAGTCATATGTGAAAGCAGGAATCCATAGATAGGTGGTAATTACATGTTATGATCAAATGAATCGTGAAAATAGAAAGAACCAGAAATGAGGGGTGTGTAAATTCTGATTACATGTGATCCAGGGAATAACAATAACAGAACTAGAAAAAAATCTGCAGCAAATATTTCTGTGTCCTAATAAAATGTTCTATATTACTAGAGCTGTTTTGCAGCCCTTGTTGCTGGAGAATTACCCATCTCTGATCTAGTCTAAATACGACTATATCGGGATCAAATTAATAATCTTTATTCATTTAGTTTGCCTTTTGTTCCCCTTTATTCTCATTGCCCACATTTATTTCCTTCCCTTTAAAAAAGTGCCCATTTCATGTATCTGTGATTAGGAATAATAACGTTAATCATTAAAATGCCATAAGTTTCTGATCTATTATATAACTGTAATAACCATGCCTCAGTTCAGCTCAGAAAGACTTCTAAGCTCTGTTTCTCAAATTTGCACTTATTTAGAATAATGATACTATAGTCTATGTTGCATTTCATTGGAACTTATCTAAATATAGGTACATTTGAATTCAAATCACAATTGAGTTTCAGTTCCAACTAGTTGCTACTTAGAATATTATGCATTACTTTCTGCTATATTATTTCCATCCAACAGAGCATCAAGTCCAGAAAATTCATTCCATTTAATAAATGTCTGCAATGCATGCACGCCCATATATGTGTATGCCCAGTGCACAGAGAATAAAACAAATTAATATGCTAGTCGCAATATTAAATGAAATTAAGGGGCACCTATTACACATTTTAATACTGTTTTGAATAATGAAGCTAACCATCTGTGAATTCATAGGATTGGGTGGGAAGGGATAGAATCCTGGCACTGTTGATATGCCATGCTATGCTGAAATATATCTACTTAGTGTAATGCCAATGGCTGTGTGCCTTTATGAAGCTGACTGTGGATTGTAATTAGGTTTTTTTTTGTTTTTTGGGCAAAATAGTCACCCTCCCTTTTTAAGAAAACCTTTCAATATATTCAACTTTCTTATAGTTAGGCATTCTTCTTGTAGTAATTGTCTATGATCAAAAACTAAAATATTACTATCTGAGTGTAGAACAAAAGAGCCTGGGAGGGCCTGTCACTTGGTTTTGGTGCCATAACAGTTTTTACCATTAAAAAATATACTGTTGTTCATTTTGATCAGGGTTCCTTGTTATTGAGAATTTTTCCCTCTTCTAATATTCCATGTCTTCCATGTTGCTATAGTAAAGAACCCAATGTTACCATTTATTTATCCAGGTTCTGGAATCTGGTATAAAGTGATGAGTTGTGCTGAAATAACAGAGGAAAAAATGATATAAGCATAGAGAAAAGAAAAAGGGACTGGCATCTACTGGACATAAAAGTCAAAATCCAGAGACTATGATGTCTAACATTGATACCTAACCTGCTTTAGTATATAACTTCAAGAGAGAAGGATAATAATGATAAATGGCTATAGAATGATAAGAAAATATAATGTCTAGTTATTACACTGGAAGTAAAAGCTTTTATGTCGATCCCTTTATTTCAAGAGTTCTGAGTACAATACTTATTACCTGGGATTACTATGACAGATTCTGAATTATTTCTTTAAGGAAGAAGTTCAAATCTTTATAACTTCTCAGAGGTAGTGTGATTTTTTTTCTTTATCTTATGGTGTGAAAGGAACAGTGATGGGATTCAGCCGGTTCACAACCGGTAGCTAAATTTTGTTGAATTCAGAGAACCGGCTGAATGTACACCACTTCTGGAAGTTTGTTCTAGGCCTGGGAGGCCTGCAGGAGGCCTCCCAGGCATAGAACAGCTCACCAGACGTGTGGGAATGCCACTTCCGGAAGTCTATCCTAGACCTTGAAGGCTCAGTCATGCATCCACACAGAGAACCAGTTGTTCTGGGATGTGAATCCCACCACTGGAAAGGAAGGTTCCTGTTCTGTTTCTCACATTGGTAGGCATTGAATAGTCAGAGCTCAAGAACATGGTATTTCTTTATTCAAAGTAAAACAGAACAAGAATAAAATGGCTCCACCACTTTTTATACATTCTCCCTGGAGCATCGCCAGCCAATCGTTGCAATGGGTTTTCCTGCGCAAATTGAATGCTAGTCATTGCTTGCAGACAACAAGCCTTATCCGGCAGACCATGTGCACCTGCTCTTAATTAAGCCCAGTACATAACAGTTCCTATGGAAAGAATGATAGCACAGGGACCAATATATAGGGAGTGGTAGAATGTGATACAATTGAATTTAAATGGTATCTTTAAGTTAAAAAAAAAAGTAATGACTGATAATGTATGTAGGACTTGCCTTGATATCACTGATATCACTGGAAACTTTCTTGTGCTGATTCAAAATTTTCAGAGTCTCTAGAAAAGGCTTTCTACTTTTTGGTACTTGACAATACCTTCAGGCTCTTATCCTTTCTGTGAATTTTGGAGAATGTGTTATGATTTGATTGACATTCTCTGCTCTTCCTTCTTTTGTCTTGTCTTTAATATAATAATGATCAAAGGCAGTGCCAGAGAAAGAGACAGAGTGTCTCACTTTTTTTGCCTCTTTGGCCTTTCTTGTCCTCAGTTGCTGCCTCAGTTCACCATCTCTGTTAATTACTGTGGGCTTTTGTTTTATTCTGTCATGGAAATCCATGTGTCCACAGCTTTCAACAGAAAAAAAAATGGGGCACTTCAGTATAACTCATAATGTACATTTGAAAAATATAGTATCAAATACAGTAAAAAAAAGTTATCTATGCCTTTGTATAGACCAGCGGTTCTCAACCTATGGGTCGCGACCCCATTTGGGGTCGAACGACCATTTTACAGGGGTCGCCAAACAACGCAATCTGCCATTTTTCCCCCTCAGGGGCTGCCGCCACGCATGTGTGCCGCGCATGGGGGCGCCGCCGCACATGGGAGCGCTGCCGCGCATGCGCGGTGCGTCCGTGTGATGGGGGGGTCGCCATCACACAAAGATTGAGAACCGCTGGTATAGACTGTATTACAGAAATACTTGGATTAGTTAAGTAGGATGCTGTTCCTCTATCCTTTCCACTTAGAAGACCATCTTTACTTTGTCTACATTTGGATGGCTTCATACAGCTATGGAGCTCACTTAAAAAATCTTTCTCAACAATGATTTTCTAGATATTTCAGAATGTTTATTTTACCTTTTTCTTGTTTCAAATTCCAGTTCCCTTTTGTTTTTATCTGTGCAGATTATGTTGCTTACGGATCCTGAGATTGAGAGCAGCCTGCTGATCAGTTCTGATGAAGGAGCCACCTATCAAAAATATCGGTTGAACTTCTACATCCATAGTATGCTCTTTCATCCCAAGCAGGAGGACTGGATTTTAGCCTACAGTCAGGATCAGAAGGTTCGTATTGCTTTTATTCCCTGCCTTATATTAGGCAAAACAAAGGGTCAGTTAATAGCCAGCATATCAGGAAAGACAGGAGATTCAGAGAAGGTCATTAACACCTTCCAACTGCTCTCTAAAATAACCAAATGATCAATTTATGTGTTGAAGAGTACCATAGATCTGTAGGTCTTAAAGGAAGTAGAAGGTGGCCAGGAAAAAAAATCAAACCTGATTTAATTTCTTTAACTTCTACATCTAATTAAATGAATGTGGTTAGTATCCATTCATGTATTTAATTATTTTCCTCTTGTATCACATTCTAACTGGAATAGGCATAAAGTTCTGGAAATCAGGGAAACTCATCATTCCAGAGCATCTTTCCCGGTCAATTCCTCATTAATTTAAGAAGCCCTAGAATAAACATGGAAGTTGGTTTATGCTGTAGCAGGATAGGTGCTGCACAACTATCTAGAAGGTATATCATGCTAAATGCCTATCTTTTAACACAGAAGTAGGCAAACCTGCAGCACTGGCATGGTAAGCAATACTCCTGTGCACCTCCCTATCCCTTTTTGGGGTTGTGTGCATGTCTCTTTAACCATTATTTGAGAGCAGGGTTTCCTTTGGTTTTGGGAAGAGAAATACACCCAATCATAATTTCAAGCACTTTGCAAAATAAAGATGATTTATGAAATATTTTTTCCCAGAAAAATAAGATAAGAGCAAAAAGAAAATTCTGACAATCCTTTGCATTGTCACTCTAATTTTTGGTTCCTGTTAAATTCAATCTTTAGGTGGCCATAGGTTGCCAGTTCCTGCCCTGAGTTGCTTTGTAAGTGAAATAGCTGCACTATGTTGTCTATATGGTAGATATAACAGGTAGATGAGAGAATGACAAACAGGCAAATAGGCCAGTGAACAGGCCAGTAGACAGGTGAATTAGAAAGCTTTAGTGTTAATTAGTTAGCAGCACTGATATTACCTTTACCCCAGGTGATGGTTATCCCAACCTATAATTATTCTTAGATCCTATTTCCTTTAGCAACAGGTTGGTTAGGGAACAGTTTTGCATCTGGCTTTTTTTTCTGGCAAAATGGGAAATAATGTACATGCTTTTGTGGTAATATAAGCATTTCATTCCCCAGGTCTTCAGTTCATTTAATAAAATCATGTAGGCTGATGTATTATAATATTTAAGTCAACGTATTTGAAGAATATAGAATTGGAAAAGATCATCAGTATCGTCCAAAATATTTAAACATTCAGAGGTACAAATCTTGGTGGTTAATTAAATCAGTTTACTCTAAAAGATTTAAATCAAGTCAATTCTATTAAAATTTTCAAACACCACATTTTTAAAATGTCCCTAAAAAACAATTTTAGCCTTCTGTCATATAGCACGGCAAAATATCCCGAGCATGAACAAATTGGCTTTACTTTAAGAAAAATACATATGTGTCATTTAGCAGGCACTTTTCAAATTGGCTGTCTCCAACTATCAAATTTATTTCTACCCTTTTCTCCCCAAAAAGGTTTATGAACAATTTTGATAGGACAAAAATGAAAGAAATATTCAGTTTCTTCTTGAAGGTTTTCAGCAAATGGCTCATATATTTTATAACTATGGCAGAGTTCAAAGGTGAAAAGAAAGATTAAATGAAGGGGGGACAAAATTCCCAAAGGAAAAATAAAAACGTCAAAGTGGACATATTAATTTTGAATTTTGTTTACTAATCACAAACAAAACATATATTTCCGTATATGACAGTTACAAAAATCAGTCTTGTATTTTACAAGATTGTGGAATGAGGTCTCCCCTGAGATCCATATGACTCCCATCTGATGGAATTCTGGATTGAGATTCTCCTATTTGTGATGGTTTATATCTTTAGATGGTAATTGTCTGGATTGCCATCTTGTAATTATCTTGTAATTACCTTAGAATTATTTTGCAGTTATTTTGTAATTTGTTCAGGTTTCAATTATTGTTATGTTCTTGCTTTTATGTTGTTTTTTACTCTGTGAGTGATCCAGTCTGTTGGGTTGAACAGTATCAAAACTGAAAACATGGAAACGAAAATCCACCATTAATGTCACTGAGTAACACCATCGGGAATTTATCCATTAGCTTTCATAAAGCTGTGTTCCACAGATATCCCATGGAAGTGTTTTTCAATTATTCTATCAAATAGACTTCCATGTGGCAGTCTGCCCAAATTCTGTGGATAATAACCATAGAATTGGCCCCTTGCTACTTCAATTTATGCTTGCATGGAAAAAAATCAGTTCTTCTACTTCATAACCTTATACAATTTGCTCTGTTATGAAAGTCAATATGGGTCTAGAAAGATACAAAATACATCCATGTGGTGGTGATAAGTACATATGTTCTTAATCATGAAAATGATTAGACAAATTCCAGAAGAACATTATTAGATCTCAGCTGATAATGAGATGCCAGGTTCAAAATTAATGTCTTAATATAAACAAGAGATGGTTATAAACCTACCAAAGTACCATCTGAAGTTACTCAGTTTGCTTATTCTATTTCATCTGATTTTAAGGGAAAAATGGTACCCTTGCATTGTGCCTAAATTTCATTATAAGCAGGTAAAGGGGAAGAAATATAAATGACTGTATAGCCAGATTAAAAATAAACAGTATGAACTAAATCTGCACCAAATCTGCTGATCAATTGAAAGTAATCTACTATATTTTTCAAAGGATTTTATATGAAGAAATATAAGTCAGGATGGACAAATGAAATACATGATTTTTTAAAAAACAAATGATACCACATATGAGTGTTTGGGCTCTCTTTCTGTAATTGTAATTGTTAAAGAAACCAGCACAGTACTGATTTCTTTGTGAAGAAGTATCTTTATAGCTTAATATATTCAAGTATGATCATTTGAAGATATAATTATCACGTGGTCAAATGGCCATTTCAGAAAGTACTAGAGTATGACTATCCTGCAAAGAACTTGATTGTGTTATGCATGAAATAAATCTTTGGGCTTTTTAGTGACCTCTTCTACATTTTAGAAAGGAAGGAATGGAGGAAAGAAAGTAAGCTTTACATTTGTTTTGATCCTGAAGAAAGAACAACTCACTCTGGATTTTATCTCAAGAATCTATATCCTGCTCTTGATCTACTCAGATTGAATGAAGGGGGGAATGTAAGAGAATATAAAGGGGGCGGGGTGTAACAAAAAATATAGATGCTATTCATCAGCAGAAAGTCAGGTATAGTTATTAGAAATTGAAAATTGGGAACATGTTGTGCTCCATTTTAAAGATCAGACTTTCAGGTTACTTGTGCTCCTTAATACTCAACTGTACCTCAAAGATGTATCTAAAAACAAATATTTGCACAGGTACCATGTTTTAAAAAATATGTTTCTGAGTAATGAAATGTCTGATCTAGATTTTGGTTTCATCACAATTAGATTATTACAATATGCTTTAAGTGGGGCTATTTAAAAGGAAAAATCCAAAGTTCTATAGCTAAAACTTTGGGGCACAGTCTCATGACCACATTATGTCTTGAAGGATCCACATCAGCTTATGCTTCCACATCTGGGCTACAAAAAAAAATCTTAGGTGACAACAAAGAGGTCCCAAAATACTGTTGTTTGTTTGCCCAGATTTTTGATGCCCAGTTAACAACCAGCAATTTCAGAGCTAGATTCATCTAAAAGGCTTCAAGTTGTATTATGAATATTTGTAACATATATACAAATAGTCTTTATTTGTATATTATCTCAAAGTGTGAAAAATTTCTCTCTGGATCTAGTAGATATTCACTTTTTCTGCTTTTAAAAGAATGTCAGTACATGAAATTTAATTTTGCCTTTATGCAGTGGTGAGATTCAGCCAGTTTGCACCAGTTTGGTAGAACCGGTAGCTAATTTTTTTGTTTCCCAGGCCCAGAATGGACTTCCGAAAGTCCAGTTGTTTACATATTTGAATCCCAGCACTGCCTTTATGAAGTGCACATGTATGGATATGGGTAGATCTGTATCTGGTAATTTTAATAGTGCTGGTATAATTTTATTGTTATATTTTCATAAGTTTATTTCATATTTTATATCCTATTTTACAGTTGTGTACTACCTTGATAGCACTGGAAAAGGAAAATAAAACAATATTAGAAACAGAGGGCATACCTTTATTATATTTTATTTAACTGTATAGTAAGATTGCTTGACTAACGCCATTTAATGTCACTGGACATGTTCCCTTTGGCCCTTGGAAACCTTAGATCAGTGGTTCTCAACCTGTGGGTCGGGACCCCATTTGGGGTCGAACGACCATTTCATGGGGGTCACCAAACAACGTAGTCCGCCATTTTTCCCCTTTTCCTTAGCTGTGCTACTCCCTTTTATTCTATTGGCTTTTGAAAGCCAATAGAATAGACTCTCTTGAATAGAGTCTAATTCTATTGACTTTCAAAAGCCAATAGGAATTGTCCAGGCTGTCTCTGCTGAGCCCGCCAAAAGTCCCATTCTGCAAACGGTGCTGCAAGTTGTCTGCAGCGAAGGCGAGCTGTCTGGAAGTTTCCACCCCTCCCTGCTGAGCAACTACTAAAAATGTAAGTAAAAGAGGGCCAGAGGTGGGAGGCCGGTGGGCACAGGGAGGGTTCCTGGCACGCGTGGGGCCCGGCAGGTGCCTTACCTCCCTTGGGCTGGGCCTGCGCCGTCGCTGCCCCTTGCCAGCTATGCCTCGGCTGGCGACGTATGACCGGTTGGATAGTCCTCGACTTACGACCAGTTGGGGTTGTGGCATTAAAAAGGTTGAGAACCACTGCCTTAGATAATGTGAAAAAAACAGTGGTCTCTACTGAACATAATTGCCTATCCCTAGTATGTTGTCTGATACAGAATTTTCTTCAAATATCTTAATGTATATATTAAAGATTTTGAAAAAATTATCAGGATAGCTAATATCTTTTCAATTTATGAATATCAAATACATGGCATTTCATAGAATACTTGTATAAGGAAAGAGAATCATTTGAAAAAACACTGATTAGAAGTACCTTTGCCTAAACACATTAATGATGGTGTGATGGTTATTTGTTTTCATTTGTTTATTTGAAAAATTAAAATGGCATCACAGGAAAGAAAAATAAATGGTTGGATGTTAATTTCAATATATTTTAAACAACTTTTTCTTTGTTTTAGAGGCATATTGGAAAGCTTGCTCATTATTAGTGGTCCATATCAATACTGAATAAATATATAAGTACCTAAACAGCCAGTGAATCATATTAATGGCTTTTGTCTATTACGTTTTTCAATCATCCAGCTCATGGTTGTCCCAAAGGTGCTTTATCAAGAGGCAACTGGATTTTCTTTGTTTTGCTTGAAGACTGTCCACTTCTGATACAAGAAGCTTCTACAGTTCTGAATGAGACTGAAACATCTTCAACAAAAACAAAGGAAGTCCAGATATCTCTTGAAAAAGCACCTTTGAGACATTAATGGCTTTTGTGCAGTTTGACTGATTGCTTGGTTTCTTTGAAATGCTTGGATTTTCCTATCTTTGGCTTTGATTTTCTATATTAATTAATTTTAACCTATTGAAGTACTGGAAGGACTGGGCTAACTGAACACAAAAGAAGAGACAATAATACTAGATGATCTAACTAGTACAACTAGTATATGGAATTTCTCTTCACTTAGTCATCTTCTCGGCCCAAAGAAGGACCATGTCTGCATGTCTATCTGTGTTCAGTAATATAATTGTGTACTTTTTCACTTTTAAACTCCTTTTTCCTAATCTTATTTTTTACATTTTTCAAAGAGCATCCAAGTGGTTTTTCTCTAAATTTAAGATGAGGAGCCACTTCAAAATCAGAAGGTTCTTGTATCATAAAAAATATACCAATGAAATTTTCCATATTTCTAAGTCAATTTAGAGTGCTACATTGGTACACAAAATATCAACATAATTCTGTACTTCCATGTGACATTTTTCACCTATCCTTTTTCAAATTGTTCTCTCCTTCCGCTCCTTTTCACTGTCTTTAAATTGGTGACAACCAATGAATAATTCTCCTGCATGGATCTTTGGCAATAAGTTCAAGATCTCATAAAAATCTCATTCATTTCAGTATCTCAGCTCAAAGTAATATAATAGCAGAAATGTCATCAACCTTTGATTGATGATTTTCATAGCTCAAATTATTTCATGCCCATATTCTGTACATCTCTAGAATAACAAACATGAAATCATAGTAGTATGTAATATTCTGGTACAAATGCAGTTTAGAATAGCTAAGAATATAGATTATCTGAATATCTGTGCGTAGATAAATACTGTAGTTGTCACACATATGCCCATTAAACTGGGAGAAAAGAAAGTGGGAAAAAATAGGTAATTCCATGAAAGACAAGATGTTGAGCTGTTAATTCAGTCTCTACTCTGTATAGCATTTATTTTCTATATTTGAAGGAAATGAAAATAAACTTGCCCATCAATAGTGAAATAGTTTTTGTTGCTAGTATGCATACTCTGCAATTTAATCAAACAATAAAGAATTACCATCCTGATCCTAGGATAATAAAGGTAATTGGTTATGGATTATCTGATTTTGTCAGTTGTTAAGAAAAAAAAAAGCAACACCTTGTCACTTTCATTTAGCAGTGTAAACAACTGGAAGAAAAATGGCCAATGTACCATTTTTGAAGGATTAAAACATGGCTAGATTATTTCCAGTCTACCATTTTTCTGCCTAGCTACAACAACATGATTCCCCAGCAAATATTTGACATAAACTCCCCACTGAAAAGCTTTTTCATTTATCTGATGTCTTAGTTAAGGTCAAATTTGTGAAGCTTGAGTGCTTTGATTTAACCTGACACACAATTCTGTTTCATAGCCATTTCGTTATATGGTGCTTTTGTTTTTTATTAAAAAGTTTGAGTACCATTTGAATAGGGCATTTACCCATGATCATATGTAAATCCAGAAAAATATCCATTATTGTGCTGTGGTTGTCTAATGTGCACTGTGTCTTATCAAAACTGGAAGCATGAAGCCTAAAGGTGGGAAACAAACGAGGGGCTTCCCATAGAATCTAGTTGGACGTGTTGGGATTCTGGGATAAGACAAATATTCTAAAGAATGATTCAATTCAAATTAAACATTTGAATCACATTTCCAAAATTATTTGAGATATCAGATCAAAATCCAGTGCCTCCAATTCATTTGGATGGTTTTGAAGACAATTTGGCAATTCTGTGGACTTTCTAGCTTTGCAATCTCAAATATTAGAGCACATTTCTTTCCAGTGATATAATGGGCTTTTCTCACATTGATATGACTAGGCAACCAATGAGTATTTTAACCTCCACAAACCCACCTTGGAGTAGATCATTCTGTTGTTTGCTTCTTGTTGTTTGATATTTATTTTAGACTCTGTCATCTTTAGTTACAGTTCTTTATCAGCCCTACTTTCATTACTTCAGCTCCTTTTTATTCTCCCCATTGTACAGCCCTAATTTAAAATAAAACAGTTCCAACGTAAGTGACTATATGTAGTTCAGGAGTGAACTATGGAGTTCTTGATGCTCTCTGAACCTCTTTGTTTGCATACAGATGTTTCATTATCCAACTAGGTTACAACTTAAGTGATAGAGATAAATTTGATTAATAAATAAATATGTTCTACCACTTTAAGTTCATTGTGTTTCTACAGAGCCATTTTTAGTGGTGATCAATAAATCTTTTCTTCCTTTCTCCCTGCTTAATTGCAGCAGGGAAAGGTCTGCTTTCTCCCAGAAAATGAAAAATCGGGACAATTGAAATCCCATTACAGGAGCTCACTGTCAACTTGGCCCAACTATAAAGATAAAACACATTTTGTTATATATGCTTTTCCAAACCTTCTGATAAAGCTGCTGAAAATTTTAAAGCAATCCTTTCTGGCCAAGTATTCTATCACTTGTATCTGATACAGATTAAGGTCTAAATTTCCAGTTTTGTGGAATTCTGTATTATTGAAACTTTAAAGTCTTTACACTGTGACAGTACTGACAATTATTTTTATTCCTGTTGTCCATAGTCTCTTGCATTCATCTTCTAAACAAAAAGAAACTGAGATTTCTTCTGCATTAAGTTATATACTTAGCATGGTTGACAGCACATTGTTAACTGGGTCACTCCCTACAGTAGAACCCACTCTTTAAACAAGAGTCTTTTTTGTAAATTCATCAAAGACATTCCCCAATGAATGGTGGCTAATGAAGTTCACTATTCTGGGATTTACTCAGTGAGAGTTATCCCTACCTTTCTTTGCTTTCATTTTCCAGCTGGTTATTATTTTTTTCAAAAGTAAAGCACTGTACTGACATCACCAGCTGTCACAACTGAGAAATCAGCAGGATATGACATCAGCCATAGTGACATCAGCTGTAGGATTCTGTTTTCATGATTAAAGTAATCTGGATAATATTATAGGAACAGCTATATGGTACAGGTATACTTATTAAAGTAAAAAAAAAGATAAAAATTGGAGAAAGATATTGTTTGTTAAGGGCTAAACCAAGACTGACATTATTCTGCATTCTCCCCAGTTGTTCTCAGTTAATAGCTAAAATGATTTTCCCTTAAAGCAAAAAATAAAATAAATTCTAAATTTATTATGGATGGGAGATGCAGTTCTATGAGTACAGGTAGTCCTTAACTTATGATCACAGTTGAGCCCAACATTTATGTTGCTAACTGAGAAATTTGTTGAGTTTTGTGCATTTTATGACTTTTCTCACCACATTTTTAAGTGAATCACTGCAGTTGTTAAATTAGTAACACAGTTGTTAAATGAATCTTATTTCCCCATTGACTTTGCTTGTCAGAAGGTCACAAAAGGGGATGATATGACTCCACGACACTGCAACCATCATAAATGTGAGTTAGTTGTCAAGTATATGAATGTAAACCATGGGTCCTAAGTGTGAAAAATGGTCATAAGTCACTTTTTTCAGTGTGGTTGTAACTTCGAATGGTCACTAAATGACTAAGGACTATCTGTATTCTTCTTTTCTTTGTATGTTTCCTCACCAATGTTTCTCAGCTTGCAGTTAAATTCCAAAGAAAAATGCCATCAGGGAACAGCTACTACCAAATCACAAAACATGGATATTGAAGAAGAAGAAGAAATAGAATGAGGAAATAATAATAACTCTACTAGCATCTTCCATCACTTCAAATTCCAAAGACTTTCTAAAAGAGATGAAAGCAAGATAGAAAAAGAAAAGCCCCACTCTGTTTTCAAACAAATAAAGTTTTGGTGAATCTAGGGAACACAACACTTTTGATTCCCGGGTAAAATGGAAGAAGTTACAGATAGAAAAAAAATGTGTTCTATTGTTCCACTGTTAAATCTATATCAGATTTAATAAATGCATTTTTTTTAGTATTTGACCCATTCTAAAACAAACCTATACCAATAATCATCTCATGTTAGAGCAAATCTTTTCTGATTTGGGCAGAATTGTTGCTGCACACATTTTCACATTAGACAGCTAAAGTAAGAGAATATCATTAAAAAGAAACATTTTGTAGAACACATTTTTGGATTATCAAGAGTGCTTCTTCAGAAAATATTTTTGTAAACCTTCTTGGTAGGTTTGAAAAAGGAGAGTAAAATTTAAAAACAATCTGGGTAATCATTCATATCATAAAGCTGTAAGAGAATTAAAACACGGTGGAAGTTTGGTAGAAGATTAAGACACTGTATTTGTTTTAATGTTTCTTCTTAGCTGTACAGTTCAGTTGAATTTGGAAGAAGATGGCTGCTTCTACAAGAATCCATAACCCCAAATAGATTCTACTGGTAAGTAAAAAAAATAATATTTCACCTGTCACAGTTTTTTTTCTAAAAATGAACAATATGATTAATTTATTGAATTTGAGTCTTTATAATAGATCTCCAGATATCTTGTAGTATCTTTTTAGCTGTTTTATATGTACCAGTGTGTCTATATTTTTAAGTTACAATCCTATAACTGCATACATGTTCTAATTTTAAGCCAGACTTATTAAACTTAGCAACATGTTTCTTTGAGTAAAAAGGAATGAATGGGATGAGGATAGTATATTTTTTCCATTTATTTTATCACCCCAGTAGGTTAGACTGAGAGATAGTGACTACCTTAGCTAGTCAATAAATTAAATAACAAAATAAGTATGGTGTTTGAATCTTTTCTTTCTTAAGGTGAAATGATTCTACTGACCCACAGAAGTTATTAATGATTGGTAGTCATAGGAGACTAATATTCACCATGTGTCAGAATTATTCTGCTTTACAAAGATATCTTTTCATGCCAGCTTATAATTACTGAATTACAATAGCTTGGAAATATAGTGCTATTTTAGAGAAGGTGTATCTTCCATTTTGCTGACATTAGAACTAATATCTCTTGTATGTTGAAAAAAGTATAGCATATGTTGACATAATCTAAAATATATTTTTCTAAAAAATATTGTTAGTTAATCATATGTATTGCCTAAAAATTCAATCTCATATCCCAAAATAATATAACTGTTTACCTATCCTATAAGTGTAGGTAGTGTTATAAATCTCATAATGAAGATCATAGCTTGTTTCAAAAAATCCTTTGTTCAGAAAGGAGGGCAGGAGTCCCCAAAGTAAAATTTAAAAGGAAATGAGTTTAATTCCATGCTGGAAAAAAACCTGACTAGCTTTTACTATTTAAGAATAAAGAGATTTTTTTTTTAAAAAAAAAAGGGGGGGTACTTTTTGGAAGTACTCTACATACTGGAAAATCAAAGCTTTAGTTCCTGTATATGTAGCCATATTTGTAGAAATAGGAGCAAAGAAACCACAAGATTGGAAGAAGAGAGTGGATACAAAATTGGCAAGAAAAGAAAGAATGTAAGATTTCCTTCTGTTCAGTTCTAGAATAGGATTCTCACAATTCTGTGAGATATTCAAAAATATCTAGAAAAAATATACCCAATGATAAAATATACAGTTTGGAAGAAAGGTGTAATCACATATACTTTAGATATATAAACAAAACCACCACCTTTAATGAGTTTCCAAGAGAATTCTATAATTTTCAGAAATTGCTTCATGCTGTATTTCTATTGTTCATTCCTTCTGTGTTCCTAATTTTATGGAATTTTGCTTAGCACTCTTCACCATCTTGGGTCATAAAAATAGTTTCAGTTAACAAAAATGCAAAAAAGAAAATACATTTTGGAGTATCTACATTGATTCCACTGTGGGTTCTTTATACAAATTTTCATATTGTTCCAAATTAATGTACAGAATTTGAATGATATTCCATCATAGTCCTTGTAGAGTGTCTTGATATTTTTCTACTTCATAGGTATTACTAACTACTTGGTTAGGATTCATGAGTATGTAAACTGTCCTGTCCATTAAAATTTGAATTAGTGGCGTTTCTACTGGATTTTTCATAATATTAGATGGAGTCATCAGGTAGAAAAAGATGTCAGAAACAGGTAAATTTAAGATTTAGGCAAGATATAGCATATTTGAACAATAAGGTCTTGATAATTTGTTTATTACAAATCCCACTTCACAGCAAGTAGCTTTCTAAATGGCCATATAGACCATAGTCACAGACTATTAATTATATTATTTAATTGAATTTATTAAACCTATCCATGCCAGCAAAGTATGGGGACATACAAAATATTATATTAAGTTAAAGCAGTTAAAACCATTTAAGCTTCTCTTAGGAAGGCTAAAAAAATCACTGATCCATTAGTGATCCATTTAAATATCATTACAGAAAGTCTAATGCATGAGTTTGTCTGTATATATTCAATTTACTTTTCACCTTTTTAAAATAATTTGGTGAGGTTATTTTCCTTTGGGTCATTTATTAATAACTATTCTGGAATACTTGTAGTATATCAATTATATTACATTCCTAACTTGATTATGTTCCATTAAGCTGGTATCAAATAGACATCACATATATAGTTTTTCTTCATGATGATCTGTCTCTAACCTGATCTTTCAGATCTTCCAAAGGTTCAACTATTATCATGATAGCAATAGCAATAGCACTTAGTGCTTTTTACAGCCCTCTCTACACAATTTACAGAGTCAGCATATTGCACCAAATAATCTAAGTCCTCATTTTACCCACCCCAGAAGGATGGAAAGCTGAATCAATCTTGAGCCAGTGAGAATCAAACTGCCGAACTGCTGGCAGCAGTCAGTCAGCAGAAGTAACTTGCAATACTGCATTCTAACCACTGTGCCACAATGCTCTTGATAACCAAGTACATTCACCATGCTGCTGGTCATGTAGTTCCTTTTCCTTTTACCTTTTTCAACATCAGGACCTCACATAATGTATCTGAAGTACAATAATTTGATCCTGGTCATGTGTGCTCTAGTGAGAACCCAGTGTGATTATCCATTGGTTTATTTACTTAGCTGTCCACAATATTCACAGAAGTCTTCTCCAAATCAGAGTTCAAAACTGTCAGTACTTTTCCTGTTCTGCTTACCAGCTTGAAGGAACCAGCTATACTATGATAAGGTATTTTCAGGGTATGTTTCAACCAACATCTACTGTTTTTTCATGATCCTGTGTCTTAGTCCCTTCCAATATCATACTCTAATTACTCATCTCCTTTCTGCAAATATCTTACCACATCATGTGAAAAAATAACTAGGATTTTATTTTATTTTCACCAGGACCTCTTGTTTTAATGGCTACAGTAATGATTATAACTCTATAACTTTCCAAAATACACTAAGAAAAAAGCCAAAAATTGAGACTTCTCTCTAATGAAAATCTTGATCAGTTTCCTACAAAATAATTTTGTTTTTGGACGAAGGAGGAGAACTGAATATAAAGGTTTATATTGCTTATAAATATAAAAAGCAAAGAACATAATGGGGTCTTTCTTCATCCCCTGGTCCTTCTACCTTGTTACCCATTGGCATTCTCATGGCAAAGATCACCCTGATTTGCAAGCAGCAAATTTGTTTGTTACTGAAATCAGTAATACCCTTCACCCCTCTCCCCAATGTGTTATACAGTGTTTTGTAAACTATGTTTTATATTGCTTTTTGCTATGTTATCTCCTTTACAGTCAGTTAAAGTTTTTGATAAACCAAAACTTTTTGCAAGCTGAACATTGAAACTAAGTTTAGACCTATTTGTCCTTTCAAGGCAAACTTTATTCTAAATTAACCCTCTCTTCTTTAGAACATAACCCTAATATCTCTGAGGTACTAAGCAAAGCTCTTCTTCTGATGACTATGTGCCATTTGAAACTCAGATCATCTTTTAAATTAACATTTTCAGCCTGAGACAATTCTTCATAAACAGATTACCCAGAAATGCCCATGCAGAGATTCAGTCTTTTGGATAAAGAGAAAATCACCATAAGGCTAGATAGCATAAGCAAGAAAAGAAGTCATTTGCTTTGGGATTTAGGGAAGGGTGACAGTTTGTGGTCCAGATGGTGCTATGCTATAAAAATGACAAACCCTGAATGTCATTTTTCTTGCCAGGGAATTAAGTAGATGAACACTCAATAAATGGGGAGAGACAAGGGAATGGATGGGAAAACAAACAGAAATAAGGTCAGGATGAGGAACTGATGAGTTGAAGGTAACATGAAAAAGCAAATGTGAGGTCAGTAGTGTAATTGATTAGATTATGTCTTCTGAGATACAGTGGAGAAGCCAGTCTAATGATCCTACTATATTACCCAAAATATTCTATTCCATAAACTAAATTTTTTTGAAATTCATCTTCATAATAGAGCTATTAATGAAAAAGTATCTTGCCCTTCAGTAAAAGATTTCTGATCTCAAGTCCTGATGTCATCATATCTATTATTTCTAGTCCTAATGGAGTTCAGACAACAAATATGGTGTACACAGATTATTCTGTTACTTATATCAACAAATGTAAGAAATAGTTATAAGGGGAGGAGCTGCTGCTACTTTCCTATGAAGTCAGAACAAATGGCTTGTAAATACTCATTTATATGGCATCTACACTCTGAGGCATAGTGAGAGGGTTTCTAAAAATACTTTCAAAGCTTTCCTTAGATTATAGGTATCATTGATTAATATAGTACACAGACTTGTTAAATAAATATATATCCATACTGATCTGCAATCTGATGGCAACATGCATATCTCAGAAGTTTAAAAGCTACTTTTAACAACTTGACTTCAGTTGTTAGACTGAACTTAGTTTGTTCTTATCTGGAAGGATCAAATGGTGTGGTTATGTTTGCAAAAATTACATATCAGTAATTCAAGCTTTTTGATTGTGATGAGCATTTGCTGGAGGCTGATGTAAAACTTGCCAATCAAAGTGACACCATGACAGCATATATGGGAAAATCATTTGGTTAAGTTGAAAGAAAAAGCCACAGTAGAGGACAAATTCAGGGGGGGGGGAGATATATTTCATAGCTTATTCATAGAACAAGTGAGTGCTGGCTGGCAGTTTATCCATAAAACTGGGACTTCATGAGACGTTTTTATGGCCAAGTGGGTTTTGAATTAAGAAGAAAGTCTGGGTCAAGGTTAGTGCCTCAGGTTATGGTGTTCCATTGTTGGTGTCTTTGAAAAGGATGGTTTTCTGAGTAGACTAAGATAGATAGGCCACCATAATGAATGGCAGGATGAACTATGCTTCTATATATCAGAGCTTCTGTGCAACAAAATGTTTTGAATTCTCTGCAATTAAAAGATGTTGCTGCTAGCATAAATGAAGGAAACTTTATATTTAAATAAATCAAGGCATCAGTCCAGGCCTCCGGCAAGTTCTGTAAACATGCCAGAAATGTTTGTGTAAC